AAAATGTTTGCAAATCCGAAGCAAGATGGATTTTTCCAAAAAAGAAGAAACAGGAACTGTACCTCTCCCTGTTGTTTCAAGTGTACTCACCTTGTTATTGTACTTGACAAAGAACAGTGAGGTTCTTGGAATTATCACAGAAACAGATGCAGAATATGAATACAATCATGAGAGAGAAAATTTTGCAAAGATGTTTTCATTCTTGACATCGAAGACTCTTTCCAAGTCTATCTCCACGTATGAACTCTATGTGCAATTACTGGAAAGTTGTACAGAATATACATACAAGATGGTTCAAACTATGAAGGATGAGTTGACAAAACTGAGTAACGAAGTGAAGAAGGCCGAAGAAAATTCTAAAAAGGAAGAAAAACAGAAATCCCAACAACAGAGACTGGGGCTTCCTCCTCAGAAACAATGGAGACTAAATCAGAACAAGAAATTTCTGCCTCGAAAAAGGAAGAAAAGTCCTCCCAAACAGAGGCCAAAGAAGCCTTCACGAAACTTTCTTCCAGAATGGATTCTCTCCTTCAGTACTTGAAGAGAATCTACAATAGCAACGTAGTAAGAGATTTAATAAGTGTATTATCGAATGTAGATTTCCCTGAAAAGATTGTGAAAACAGCAACATCCATTATGAATTACATGTCTTTCACTTCTGACATGAAAAAGATAATCCTAAAGGAATTGGCCCAAAGTGCAAAACAAGAGGCAAAAGTTGTTAGGGATACTCTTGGAGATTTGCTATCTTCCAGAGAGGAAAAATCGCAACAATTCCAAGCTCCTTTTGATGCCAATGCTATTGAAAAGCTCAAGTTTTGTAGAATTCTAAGATCTTACAGTATTGTTTTGAAGAAGTACAAGAAACATGAAGAAAAATCTACTTCTGCTGAGAAGTTAACAATTTCTGAAGATCCAGACTTGCTTAGCGAGCACTCACTCGATTTTGTATGGGAATCTCTCGACAAATACTTGGCTTCTATTCCATCTGAACAAGAACCGGCCGATACCAAGGCCACTCCGCAGACTGCAACTAGGAAAAGAAAAAAGTCCTCCGCTATTTATTCTGCTTTGTTCCCATTTGTTGAGGCCTTTTTCTCGTTCCATGCGGGATTCATTGAAGAAAAAGAGAATAATGAAGCTTTGTTGTCTGAAATGGTCGAAGGATCTACTCCAACGTCGGCGAAAGGTTTTGGAGAAAAGTCAAAAGTTGAAAGTTTTTTAGAGAGACATAGAGACTTTTTGAATACTCTGGCAAGATCAAACCCTTCTCTTTTGAATACTACTCTTTCGACTTTCATGAAATATCCAAAATATGTTGACTTTGATAACAAGACCTTTTGGTTTAGATCCAAGTTGAAGGAATTGCAGAAGAAGGTTGGAGCTTACACTGCCAAATTAACTATTAGACGTGCTCATCTTATGCTTGACTCATTCGTTCAAATAAGACAACGATTACCGGATGAATGCAAAGGAAAGCTTCAAATCAAGTTCCAAGGAGAAGAGGGACTTGACGTTGGTGGTTTGACAAGAGAATGGTTCTTGCTTCTTTCAAAAGAAATTCTCAATCCAAACTATGCCTTGTTTATTCCTTGTGCTGATCAAACAACTTATCAACCAAATCCTTCTTCATATATTAATAGTGAACACTTATCTTATTTCCAATTCATTGGTAGAGTCATTGCTATGGCTATTTTGAACGAGCAATACTTGGACTGTCACTTTACCCGATCATTCTACAAACACATTATTGGAACACCAATTACTTATCATGATATTGAAAGTATTGATCCAGATTATTACAAAAATTTGAATTGGATGCTCAAGAATGACATTGAAGATGTATTATACTATACTTTTACACAAGAAGTGGATGAATTTGGCCAACGTAAACAAATTGAGCTCAAACCAAATGGCAAAAATATTCCTGTCACAAATGAAAATAAGCTAGAATATGTAAGACTTGTCACAGAATTGAAAATGACAAAATCTATTGAGCAACAATTGAACTCGTTCCTTAAAGCATTTTACGAAATTATTCCTCGTAATCTCATTCAAGTTTTCAATGAACAAGAGTTAGAACTATTGATTTCAGGTCTTCCTGACATTGATATTCAAGATTTGAAGAATAATACCGAGTATGTTGGATATACCAAGGATTCACCTCAAATCAAGTGGTTCTGGAACATTGTCGAAAATAGTTTTGATTCAAATGAGAAGGCATTGTTGATTCAATTTGTAACTGGTACCAGTAAGGTTCCTCTTGGAGGATTTTCACAATTGATGGGATCTGGTGGTCTTCAACCATTCAGCATTCACAAAGCAAACGCAACCAGTGAACGTTTACCCACTTCACACACTTGCTTCAATCAACTCGATTTGCCAGAATATGACTCTGAAGAGCTTCTACATGAAAGATTATTATTGGCTATTCGTGAAGGATCAGAAGGCTTTGGATTTGTGTAAAACTTGTATTTGAGTAAAGCAAACTGTTTTTGAGTTTTCAAAGGTGATGGCATTACTACAGATCCGTCGAACTCGAGTAGACTTTATTCTTCTTCGCCCCCTCAAGTCGGCCGAGGGCGAGCAGTTTAGACAGCAATGATATGAATTCCTCGAATAATCACCTACCTTCCATCTTGTCTTCTAACAACAAGTCCTCTGACACACAAAGAAATCATGATGATGCATCCTCTCTTTGCTTCTTCTGGCACATGCATCTTTACAACACCGCAATACAGAATCGGTGCCGCTTTGCACCGAAATAGTTTGATTTCAAATTTGATAAATACTTTGAGATACGCCATCAACACATCAGAGATAATCTATTCTCACAGGAAATTGTTTGAAAATAGGATGCTTTCGACTCTTTAGAAATGATATCGCCACACCAAGAAAGGACTGTCGTACGCTTTGCTACACAATGTCTCTACAGAAAAAGAATCACTCTTTCACTCCCTGCAACGACTTCAAGAATTTTCCTGTGAGAGCACTTTCCGTATCACTTGCAATCTCGTAACGCATGTAAATTCATTTATTCATATTTTGTTACCATCAATGTATAATTCAAATCTTGAACGAAAGGCCACTCTTTCCAAAACTCCAATCCTCCCTTGTTTGACATACCTTTCTTGATTAGAAGGTCTCAAAGATTGCCTATTTCAACTCTCACAGTGCGCACCTCGTGTGCGTCATCACTTTTTTCAAGTGAGAAAAAAACTAGACCAAAAACTTTTTCCTGAGCTACCAGTACTTGTACTCCTCCTGTTTATCATCTCCTTCTGTTACTTCTTAATCTCTTGTTTTCGTTTCCATTATCCAAACCATCAAAATGGATCCTTCATCCTCAGAATCCTCAAGATATGACATTCCTTCTCATTTAGAGAGACCCTCCAATCTCTTTCGATACTTGTTTGTAGTTCATAATTGTTGCTTGTTGGTATTTATGTTGTTCTCAGCGGTGGTTGTGTATTGTGTGAAGGGATTTCTTTTCCATAAAAAGTCAAAAAGAGAACAAAGACATTTCATGAGTTCCAGCCTCCTCGAGAAGAAAAATTCTACCCTTCCTTCATCTCGATTGGAAAGGCAGCAAGAAATCATCCCCTCTGCTGCTTGTCAACACGAAGAAGAGCAACCAGAAGAAGAAGGAATTTGTGACCACAATGTCACTTCCAGCGATCCATCGACACCAATGACAACCCTCACCGCTACCACCACAACCACCACTAACAACTCTCAAATGCATTCTCCAAGCAGTGTGATCACTATCCATAGCGTATGGGAATCCATGGATTCCATTTCACCAATCTCTCAAAATTCTACAAACACGTTCCTCAACAAGAATATTCCTTCCAATTCAGAGTCCATCTTTGATCGAGAAGTCAATTCTTCCCTCTCAACTCGCTCATCATTTCAGTTCTTACATGACAATCATTGCTCTTTATCCATTTCAAACTTTAATTCTTGCACAACCAGTAATAACGGAAACATCTCGCAAAGTACAATCAAAGCAAAGCATGGCCAAGAGGAAGAAGACATTGACTTGGACTCCACTGGAGCCTCTTCTCCTTCTTTGAATGTATCGTGTAATCATTCAAAGGATGTTTCGAATTCATGTCCTTGCAACGTTCCTCCTCTTGAACATTTGATTTACAATAGGTAGGTATTAAATGATTGAATTTGTGATCATTGACTGTTTGAATTCAAAGATTACGCGATCCCACACAATTCCTCTTTGAATCTTTTGGTTTCAAATTTCCAATCACCATTTCTCTCTATCTTTATCGAATGATCATTTCCATGTGGGCTCTCATTTCACTCTTTCTTAAACAATTTCATTTTGAAAAACAATTACCTCTCATGTTTGTGTCATTTCTCACCAACTTTACAGCTATTTTATTTACTCTCTATTTTACAGGCCATGTTGTATTGGGATTTTTTTATTTAGTCTTTTTTAGTAAATTATACAGGAATTCAAAAAAGATTGGGATTCCAACCTTGAGAAAGACTAATTTAGAATATTCCAATTTGAGAAAGTTCATGTTGATGGCCTCAAATGGAATGTGGTTGATGGGTGAGATTGCCATTACCTCTTCATTGATTGTATCTGTGGGTTACTGGATTATGTTTTCGATAGAATCAAGCTCAGAAGTGAGTTACTTGTAAGTATTGATGGAATTTCATAGCGATTAGAGTAATTTGACATTTGGCATTAGTACAGTTGCATTTCATGGAATGACAGGTCTCTTCTGCCTTATTGACTTTTTCATCTCCAATATGGTATTCAGGCTTTGGCACATTTTCATTGTCGTTCTCTTCCCCACCATTTACTTTATTTGGTTACAAATCTTGGCGGAATTACATTTAATATCTCAGTGGCCCTACAGTGTTGTGAATTATTATCTCCAGCCATGGACATCTTCATTGCTCTTTCTCTGTGGTCTTCTCTTCGCTTATGGTGGTGTTTTCACGTGCTTTTGTTTTCTCTCTAAACTTCGAACACGATTCTTGTTGAAAATTATTTTGAAACATCAAGAACAACTAAAACAGTACCCTCGTGATGACTCTCCAATAAATAATGGTTGAAGAATAAAAGGAAACTCAATGGCAACCAATAGTGAAGTATTGGATCATGTGCACGGAATGTATGAGAAGTGATTTGAGAAAATCTTTTCTAAATATGGACCTTAAGGCGATTCAAGAAAACCCCTAAATGGAGGTTTGAAACAAGAGAGTGGTTGGAGAATTTCAAACGAGCAACAAAACACACACAAATGACGGCGATCGTTCTTCCCACTAGCTTTGAAGTTTCTAACGCTGGTAATCAGTATTCTTTTATCTTTAAACTCAGAATTACTGGTCATTGTCCAGTCGTCCGGTTTTGTAAAATATTAGATAAGGACAGAGAAGTTAAATTGGGATTTGATAAATACAAATTTCAACCAGGCCAGTGATATTATGTTGGTATTTGTTTTATAAGTTATCAAATAATTGTCCACATTAAAGGGAAAGAGATTCATAAAGAAATAACTCAAAATCCTCCAAAAAACAATTTGTATTTTGACTCTCATCAATCAACGTTTAAAGTGATTCCTGACAGCACTGTGCAGATTGAAATGTTGCGTTATGAAAAGAAAAGCATCACAGCCGACGACACCATCTTCCATCAACCCACTTATTCACCTCTTCAAAAACAGCTGAACCAACTCTTTCTTTCGAACAAAGAAGTGAATGCCAAATTAACATTCTCCTCTCAAAGTGAATCCGAAAGGAGAGAAATTCCAATCCATACGAACATCGTAAATCTTAAAACTGATTGGTTTGCAGCTGCATTAGATCGTTGGAGTGAGGATGGAAAAGAGTGTTCCATGTATGATGAATCCTATGATTTGATGCTTCGATGTATTCGTTTTATTTACATTGGCACTATTTATTTGGAGAATGAAGTTCATCTTCCCATGAGTGATTTAGTGGCAATTTGTTCACTCGCAGACAAGTATTTCATTGAGGGTCTGTACGAGCATGTCGAGCAACATGTGATGGAAGTTATGAATGTTGACAATGTTATTGAAGCGTGTAAATATTTGGTGATGCATTCAATGGAAGAAGACAACAAGAGGGGGGAAACTGTACAAGTTCTGTCAGGAGTTTTTACAACATAATCATACCTTAATTAATGTTAATTCACTTCCTAATGACGAAGGGACTGCCTGTCTCTTGAAATTTATGTGGAATAATAGTCGTCGTTAAAAAGAATCCACACAGTGTGGGAAAGAAGGTCCAAAGGAATGTTACGTTCACTCTTGTATTCATTCTTTCATCATGAATGAAGTATACTAGATTTCTCTGCTTTTAAATAAACATTTGAAATTCTTTTTAATCTTCGAGTCTTGGCGCCATTCAAAAATTTTTGAATAAAAATAACGAAAATGCCTTCGCAACAACGACGCAACGCAAAGCCTTCATCGAGCAAGGCAAAACGACGTGCGGTGGTGGAAGAGTCGGAATCTTCATCGGATGACTTCTCTGATGGTGATGGAACAGAAGTGAGAAATGTGGTTGGAGAAGAAGATGAAGAAATTTTGGAATTGGATGAAGAGGAAAATTCTCCTGAAAAGCAAAAGAGGTCGTCCACTGGATCCGTAACATTTGAAACACCTGCTACGGCTAAACATAAATCTTCATCATCACGTAGAAAGTCTTCTCTTTTGTTCCATCACAGATAGATGATTTGGGAATTAACGATGATGAAAATGAAAAAGACACAATCAAAAGAGACGTGATAAAAGAAAGAGTGTTGGCATTGGATTTTTAACAACAGAAACACATCGTAGAAGTGGAGCTCACGCCAGCAGCACTGCAGGTTTAGTTTCAACATCACGGACATTAACGTCATCCGAATTGGAAGCTCTCTTTCAAAATTGTATCAAATTATCATCTGAAAATAAGATCAATGCCAAGAACACGTGGAATTTAAATTTAATTGATTATATTGGTGAAGTTTTAGAAACAACCCTTACAGGTGGAAGTTTTCAAGCTGCCAGTTGCACTCTTGATGCTGGTGTTAAAATTTATTCGACTCGTGTTGACTCCGTTCATACAGAGGCTTACAAAGTTTTAACGAGTTTTGCCAGAGCTGATCCTCAAAAGAGCTCTTCCTCAGAAAATAACAACGATGGAGAAGAAGGAGCAAACAAAGATGGAGAAGAGGCTGAAAAATCTAAAAGAAACGAGTTCGACATGGTGTGAACACTCTCGAAACGAATATTAATAACATCACTGTGAAAAAGCTTGAACTTGCCTATGTGATTGAACCTTTGTACCATACTTCACTCGGATCGTCAAACAATTTCGACGTGGGAAGTGCCAATTCTTTGCTTTTAAACAATTTAGGACTTGGATATGGATGTGAAGTTATAATAGACTCAAAAAATTGGGACTATGCATACAAGAAAATTGCATCTGAGAGCAATAATCGTCCAAATCAAACAAAACAAACAGCAGAGCAACATCGGCAAGGAGCTGTAACCACCACCAATGAAGAGGAAGAAAGAATTCATCCAATAGCTTTAGATAAGAGTGCAATGGGGCGTTTGTTGACGACATCATTTATAGACGAGAAAATGCTTGAAGAAATGGAAGAACGAGCCAAACTAACTCAACAACAATCGAAAGAGCACAACCTTCAACCACAAGGAGATGATATACCATTGCAGCAACCTATCTCAACCGAAGAAATTCAAACTCAACACAATGTGTTAACATCAGATGTACCCACCATTAATAATAATGGATTTGCTTCAGAACAGACACCGTCACTTTCGGAGAATTTCACCTTTGATCTTGGTGGAGGTTTCGGTGGTGGAATTGATGATTATGGCCCACCGGATACAGCAATGTCTGATGGTCTCACACCTCAATCGTATGGTGGCATGCCTCTCGACACCACCACACAAATACCTCAAAGACTTTCAATTGGTGGTGATGGGGTCAATGCCTTAATTACTGCTGCTACTGAGGTTGGAGGTTTGGCTCCCGATCACTTTGCAAATGCCAATCATGATGACGATGATGACGACGATGGCTTGGGTATATTTGATACAGATTTTGTCAATGCAGAACCGCAAGATGTCGTACCTCAAGAAATTGGAGATGATGACACTGTCATAGTAGAACAGCAGAATAAGCTTCAAGCAAGTGAGCCTTCGCAACCAACATCGATCACTGAAATGATTCAAAAGAATCCTGAAACGATCACTGTTGACAATGACTATGAATACTTTGATGTTACCAAGATTAAGCATTGGGCTGGAATTGAGCATTGGAAGCCATCAGCAAAATCAAAAACTCAAGGCACAAATACTAAGAAATCGAAAAAACGAACACAAAAGTCAAAACCCCATGTTTTTGATTTTTAAATGATCCTTATACCATTGACTATGCTGTACAATTTAAGTATTCCAAAAACCTGAAGACAATCAAATTAAGAATGCAACATCCAAGTTGACCTTACTTCCTAAAGATGTTCATTATGATTTGAGCATGTTGCTGAGACCGTTCAATCTTCCAGCAGCATTTACTGACAAACATTTACAAGCTATTGTTGAACAGGGCGCTCGAAGCAAAACAAGCTCCTCCAGCGCGAACAACAATACGGAGCCACCTAAATTGACGGGTGCACCTGAAAGACCCACTCAAAACGGAATGTTTATTACGACTTCCAGCAAACTTTATGATGACAGTGATGAAGATGAAGAAATGGGTCTCAATGCCCCACAAGGTTTTGGTATGGACAATATGGACATTGGGGGTTTTGATAATTTTGGAGATACTGGATTTGGAACAAATAACACAACAGAAGCTTCTCAGCAGCAACCATCTGCAGATGCTACTGCCATGACAACAATTACAGACTTGGGTAACAACCAAACTAACATAACAATGGCCACCTCATCTATGGAGCCTCCTTCGTCGATTGAACCTCAACAAGACACTGTACTGAATGATTCACACAACTCCTCAATGACAATGGAAGATATTCAACTTAAACCTCAAGAATTGAACAATCCAAATGAAGTGACAATGGTTGCTGGAGCTCAATTAATTGAAGCTCCAAAATTAGTGGAAAAGCTCAATATCAAGTATGCCACCAGGGCCAAGCAAGTCGATGTGAGGGCTTTGAAAGATCATCTCTGGACAGAAATCGAAACAGCACCCAAAACAGATATTAACTTCTCGGATGTTGTCTCATCTCTAAACACGTCCAAGCCAAAGGCAAACGAGAAAAAAACCAGACTTTTCAGAAGTGTCTGTTCCATTTTGCTTCATTTGCATGCTCCATCTTTGTAATGAACAAAATCTTGAGCTAGAAGGAACTCCTGACTTTTCTGACTTTAAGGTGGTAAAGCCAGCGAATGGGCAAAGAAGACAGTCTTTGGAGGAGATGACGAATGACGATTAATGTTCGAAAACAAGAAATTTCTATCCCGAGATGTTGATTAGTTGTTCTTTCAAATCAAATTTTTGTACTGAGCGGTATGACCTTTATTGAATCTTCTTCTGGGTACTACAATCTTTGTTTGGTCTTGCATGGATCCTATCCAACTTTTTGCTTGTCATTAACACAAACCAAACTGAACAAGGCAGACTAAAAAGAGCAATCTTGACTTGTTAAGATCTACTTGTCACATGCCAAACAATATCAAAAAAATCCAAACACCTCCCAACCGTCATGTAGGTTTCAAATTAAACATTTACGCTCTTCCATAACATCGACCCTTCGACAATGTTTATACCTCATTAAATTTGAAACAAACGAACCTGTATATTCAACGTTTGCAACAAAATTTTGTATGATGTTTATCATCGGATCTTTGTTTCAAACATCATTACCCAAATTATATTCCCAAAAACGACAATGATGAATACTAATCTCAATACTAACATTTCCATGTTGTGTTTTATATATTACCGTTCTATATAAATGTCAACCCTAACAACTGTCATCATCCGACACTAACTTTAATGATATCCTTCCTTCGAAATTTTGTTTGTATTTTCTGTGTTTCTCGTCTGCCAACCGTACTCACCTAGTGTGCATACAACCTGAATCATCACATTCCATCACTTGTCCTATCATTTTCATCACCTTCCCACTACTGTACTTATCTCCACATTACTCCGATAAATTCAACCACTAAAAAGAATGGTCGGATTGAAAGCCCTCTTCAAAAGAAAGAACCTACCGATCCCAAAGAGAGAAGAAAATCTGTTGCAGTGCTGACTTCTCCAAGAGCTGGACCTCCCAATCTCACACAAACAGAAGGAGGAGTCTCAGAAACGACCACCAGCAGTGAGAATTCAAAAGTGAAAACTCCAAGACGTGTCACAACAGCTGTTGTTGAAAATCACCAACAATTTCAAACAACTCCTCCACATATTCATCTAACTCCTGGAAATCCTGTCAATGTTGAAAGGTCACCCATTGCAAGTGAAAAGAAACCTCCAAGAAGAAGACATCAAAAACGTCGAAAGAGTATTTTCGATTTTTTCAAACAAAAAAAGGATTTGGATGAAAGTGATGAAGAAGATGATGATGATGATGATGACTTTGATAGTTCTTCTAATGTAAAATCGTCACATCCTCAAGTTCAAGCATTATCTTTGGGTGCATTGAAAGCTGCAACTACTGAGGACAGTTCGAATTCCGAGCTTGATAAACAATCCCAATCTCACCATGAAGAGAGTCATCACCATGAACGTACAATTTCTGAAGAAAGAATTGCATTGAGAAGAAGAAGTGGTAGAAAATCCTATACATTGGCTATGGATGTTCAAAATATGGCCATGAATGGAGATGAAGATGCAAAATTATTACTTAAATTTTATAAGGGTAGGTTCGTGAGTAATTTTGAACGATCGATTGCATTGTTTTGACCTCATGTTGTGTTTCATTGAATACACACGGAAATGACAATGGAATCATGAATATTATTTAATGACAAATGACTTTCACAGATGCTTATACACGAGAGTCACAGATTCAGAAAAACAAAAATGTTGGTAAAATTGTCGAAGATTTACTGAACTTTGAAAAGAAGAAGGGTATTGGAACTCCAAGTGCAGATAAAGAACAGAACGGTGCACTTTTGGCTGAAGCTTCAAACCATGCAGGAGACGAATTAAACACCTCCAAAGAACAACATCATGCAGCAGGTCGTGATGATACATCCACCGATGAAGATTCCATGACCATTCAAACCAATGAAAATTCCTCCACCGCTTTAAATTCGTCACAGCTCAATTCGGATGACCAGTCCATCACTCCAACATCCTGTTCTATGAATACCTCCATAAGTGCCTGTTCTCCAACCATGTCGTCCTCAAGCAACTCGAGAAAAGACTCTGTCTCTCCTTCCTCTCATCTTCCATCTGGCTTAACAGATTCTCAAATGAATTTATATCAAAGATTGAAAGCAATTTCTGAGAGAGAAGAACGTGAAAGAGAGGAGCAACATCAGAGAGAAATTGAAG